AATCACAACCATATAACACGACTGCGAGAGAAAAAAAAACGAAAAGGAAAACACTGTTACAACATACGTCCTTGTACTTTTCCAGTATTTCAATGATTAACAACACCTAATGGTGTTTACTTTTACCAACAAACGAATGTGAACCAGACTGTTAAATTGATAAATTTACGAAGTTGACAAATACGGATTTGGGATTTACAGCTGACCATTAATGGGAATCCACGATTACACCAAGAGTTGTAAAATAATATGGGCAATTTCAAAAATATTTCAAAAATATTTTATTATTCGCGACTTATTTTGTATTATCACTAACTTTTGCCCGCGACTTCGTCCCGGTAGTGTTTAATAAAAATGTAATTCGTTTTAAATCTCTTGGTCTAGACGTAGTATGTGTCAATTCTATCAATATAAATCGCAATTTTATTTTAATTAATTATATAATGAATTGCTAATAATGCACTTCAGCGCGCCATCTCGGATTCAACTATTTAACTATAACAATGGTTGAATCTCAATGTCAACTTTTATCCTACAGAAAAGGGCTGTCTTTAGGGTTTTCCCGGCAATCATTCGAATTTTTCTCTGTAAAACCATCCTTGGACTTAAACGAACATTAAAAAATAATTGACCAAATTGGTCTTGGCGTTGTTGAGTTATGCGCTTACCAACAGATTTTGTGATTCATTTTTTTATTATAGATAATTATTATTAAATCTTCAAACCAACTTTCAACACGTATTTTACACCCTGTCAAATATAATTTCGAAACAAAACAATACACGATTATTCGTTGGAATAATTTAAAGACTGCCTAAAAATTGAGGTCTATAGGAAATAAATAAATAAATAAATATACATGAATATTGTGATTGATATGTTTTCTAAGAATATCTTGATTTATCTCTGGCTTCGTTTCCGCAAAATCCTTTATTATATTTTACTGCATGTTTCTATGCAGCATTTATTACCTCGAGTAATATATGTTCCAATGCGTTGGCAATTTGCTGCTCTTATCAATTTTCATTCCTATTCGCATTCTACATGCATACTGCAAATAAAAGAAAATGTGAAAACGATTTTTACTTGCATGTTTACGGCACAAATCATTTGCAAAATATTCCTTCTTCTCACAATATTTTTGAATAATTATTAAAAATAAAATGCGATGTTCGTGTTCATGTGGAACAAATCATTGATGCTTTAACTTTATTATCCGAATCTAATTGCAAATCGAATATGAAAATATCATTACCCGGTGATACATGATCAAGGGAAAGGAAGTCGTTAAGCCATGATTCTAATCCAACATAAACCCAATAATAGCAACAAACTACATATTTATAAATCACCAAGCGCAAAACAATCTAGCCATAGAATAAGTGATTAACAATAAATTGACCTTATGTAATGTGCAAATATTCATTTTCTACGAACAGCATGCCCTCCAAATTATTTTTAAACATCATTTTGATAATAATCATTATTTCACTGGTTGTATAACCAGCGATGATCATAACACTCGCAAAAATTTGCAATACGAATATGGAATCAGCAAAAGTCGAAACACATAATCATCAGATCAGAGCGCATCATCAAAACACTCGTACGCCTGACAATTATAAACATGCGCGACTCATCCATCCGTTCGCTGGACGTTCATATTATTAAAACACAACGCGACACGACACGTTTTTGCGCCGAACTTTTGTTACATTTAACTACATTATCCAGTCTAGTCATAACTCGTAAGGTTTTGCGGGGCCAGCACGTCGTGTAAATGATGTTTGAAAAAATACTCTTACAAAAACTCACCAATATATAAAAAGAAACGTTTCACGAAATATACAATAGAAAGAATGAATGAATGCAAAACATATAATAAAACTGGTGGAAATTTTAAATACACAAAACACAAAATGAAAAACCAGCAAAAGAATGAAAATCAATCTTCGTTGTTAATTGAAATCTTTGTAAAATGTACCTAACAATGATAATTTTTTTCTGAAAACCAATTTTAAATATAATTCTTTAAATCTGTGTACAGATCTTTGAAAATAAAAAACACGTGCGATAATAAATTTTAAAAATCTGTCACTATTTGTTGATAGTTACTGTATTTACCAATCGTCTGGTAGAATAATTGCGACAAAACGTATCGTTTAACAAGCACATAAAATGTTTATAGATGAAACATGTGCATGTGTGCGCGCTGAGTGTCGAAATCGGCGTCAATCGCACACCGATCGGTACCAAATTGGTGCTAATTGTGGTATAATTGCGCATTAATGCATCTCCAATTAGGTGCGCCAAGTAATTACAATAATATTAACCAACGAACCGACTCACCAACAAATTGCCCAACGATGCATCAATCAAAATTATGCTGCTGCAGAATAAAAATCGAAAATTATCTCATTAAAACATGCAACTACTACCAAATGATTCAATTAACTCTGCTAATCCCAGCTGACAATTTGGCTTAATGAAATGATTATTGTTCTCAACTTTCAACACTAATTGATTTTCTTTTCACTATCGTAGTTTAGTTTTTAACGTTTTAGAATCAACTTTTATAGAGATTTGTTGGATGTTGAAATCAGTGGCTTAGCAACCAAAATCAAGCCATAAGGTAAGTAAAATCCAAGGAGGCCCTTCTTGGGTCACAAAAGTAACAATTTCAAATTATTTAAGCCCATATCTATACGTTAAATATTAGAGCAAAACCTTTACTACATTTTTGGCTAAGGGGAGCTTAAATCTACCGATGAAACTAAAACTCACTAATCCTCAGGTACAAGAAGTGGGTCAGAAATTCAAAATTCTGGATAGGGAAGAATTTGAACCTACTGAGCATGTGTAGCATTTGCAGAGGAGTGGGTGTAGTGGTCCTCCATCCAAATCGATTACAATTTCACGAATCGTTAACTAATAACATAATACTAATCCTTTTTTTAGCCCCAAACGTATAGCACATTCTTATGATATGGTAGCTACGCCACTGGTTGAAATCGAAAGCGCAAAAACAGTCGTTATAACCTTGCATTCAAAACCACATCATGTCGAATACGTGTATTTCGCGCTTTTGTTTTGTTTTATTGTTTCTAAGAAGCGTCATTGAAAATTAAACGTTAAACGAATAACACGGAGATTCAGCTCTTAATATAGCATTGGTACAAAACTATATTTAACTGCTAAATTGAATAGGTAGTTAAAAGATGCTAGTTAAGAATAATATACATACGCAAATCTTTAAACTACCTACATATTAGACGCAAGTGTTAGTTAAATGATAAATTTGGGAAAAATGGCAGTTTGATGCAGAAAATAAAATCTTTTGCAGTGTAAGCCACTTAAACATCGTGTGATCGTGTGTGGAAGCTATTATCCTTTTCACACTTAACATGTTGCACAAACTGCGTGTTCAAACTCCTAATTTTATACAATATCCTACAAAAACATCAATAATTTGAAATTTAATCTAACAACTAGAGAGTTATATGAAGTATATTGCTCTTAAAATAAAATAACGTTTAGTATACACATAATGAAGATACTAAAAAGCAAATCAAACTATAACCGTTATACCAGTTGTCTGTCATTCAATCCGTTCGCCCCGCAGCGAGAAAACGTAACCACGGGTGCGCATTGCACTATCGTGTTACAAATTGCTTCAAAATGTACGTACACTTCCCTCACATGCAATACTTGTGTACACAAAACACAAATTTCCCACTTTCCTAAAACAAACTGCTCTGCGTGTCTATGATCAAGCCACAAAAACTGAGTGCTTTTTATTAAATGTATGAATCAGCAGCATTTAACCAAATTTATGAAATCAACTGCATCAAATGAACGCAAAGTGCAAACTCGGGCGTGAATCATCATCGCACTTTCCCAGTAGCAAAATGTGCAAATATCATGAGTAAACATACATTTCTTTGCACTGTTTGCACAAATGTAAGGCATTAATGAACGCCTAACTCGTTGCAATAACGTAGGAATTCAGCTGTGCATGCATGAATATTTGTGAGGTATGCGCACATTACAGCAATTAGGAAATTCCGGATTAGACACTTTGTGCATTTTACTATTTTTAAGTAAAACATGTGAAACAAATAATTGTCATACCATGTAATCATAAAATGTAATATTAAATTGTCGTGTGTATTTGGTTGCCTACCATAACTTTGTATATGTTGGAGATGTGTACTCGAACATATGAAAAATTCCCAAGCTGAAAGTGCAAGTAAATTGATTTTCCGCTTTTCGCAAATTTAACTTTACCGGTGACTATTTTCCGCGTGCGACCACACAACTGCTACTTAAGCACTTACATCAAACGCGCAATTTTCCCGGAACGAGCATAGCATTATAATAATTATTCACGAACGAGAGCAATTTGTGCTTGCCAACACACACATACTGATATATGTGCGTTGCCAGTTGGATTTCGCATAGAATCCAGTGGAACACGGCGCGAAGCAAAGTAAAATAATGTAAAGTATAGTAGAGCATAAGCCATAAGCTAAAGCCGAGCATACGTTACAATGTACAATACACAAGTACACTTCTAGCTCATGAGCTCACCAGTTCGCTGTTCTTGTTTTGTGTTTTGTTTTGTTAGCGTGTGTGCAACGTTTGAGTCTGTGCTCATGCTCTAAGCGCACGTAACATATGAGCATTATCATGCTAGCAGCATACGTATATATATAGCGTGTATAGCATGTGGATATGTGTGTAATCCAGAAGAGCTTCGTGTGCTCCGTCATTGAAAATTGTAGTGTGCGCACGAACGCAAAGCACAGCAGTGCAAGCCGTCGAGCAGGAAGTCGCAGATCAAAATACGCTTCCGTTTCACTTCCTACACTCTTTTCTATAGCGCAATATTTCAGACAATATACACAACCACATGGAACTCCAGGTGATATCAAAAACAACGCGCTTTTTTCATAGATGGCGCTCAAATTCTCCAATAGATGTCGCTAGATTTCACTTACCTCTTAGTACTTCCAAGTTGTCGCCCATTTGAAACCGAATGGTGACTCCAGGATTGACATGGAACAACACGACGTACTCGCCGTTCGGTGGCTGAGGGTGGCTAGGACCGGCGGTACAGCCCACCCCGCCGCAGCCGCCGCCCGCCAAGCCGAACTGTGGCGCTTGCGGTTCGAAACCAGGACCGAAATAGAAACGCGCCGGCTGGCCGTTGGGATCGGCCGCCGGGTCGGCGGCGGCGACGCCCGTCAGCACCGGCGCCGCCTGAATCGGCTGCGGGAACGTGCAGTGATGGTGGTGCGACGAGTGATGAAAGTGATGCCCGCCGCTGTGATGATGTCGCGGCTTTCGCGGCCCACTGCCATTACTACTATTATTGTTATTGTTATGATGCGCGTGATGATGGTGGTACGGGGGCCAGTCGAGCTCGACGAATTGCCGCCCCGCGCGGGCGCTGGCGGTCGACTTTTGGGTTCGGCCATGCCCGGTGGATCGTCTTTACTTTCACCATTCGTGACACGCACTGTTAGCGTGTGTTTGTTGATTCAGCAGTTTATTCGAGTATCTGGAAGTTAAACGAAAAAAAAACATATCAGTAATTGAGACAATAGCAGGAGTTGTTATCGGAAAATTACGTCAGTAGCACACCTCAACCTACGACACTCGAATTAATTTTACGATTTCATTGACGTTGTGTTCAATTTTTCGTGGGTGTTATGATGATTTTCCGAGTGGCTTCACCGCTTGCGTCACGCGCACCGAACAAACAAAAGACAATTGAAAATATGCGAACGGCGTAAACAATTACGTGTGCGCTGTTTATCACCACGTGCGACGTCATTTTGACGCAAATGGCTTTCCACCAATTATTCAACGAAAATCTTATCGCAGTATTACTACAGCAATAAAAACTTTATAACAGGACTTTTTGATGTGTTTCCTTAAACTTTTTCTTCGATTTCAATTTGCAATAATTTTTAAAGCGGCGTTCAATGGATGATGTGGTCGATAATTTCAATTTCGGGTATGTCATAACGCGCTCAAAACCCGTCCGTCCCCTGTGATTATGGAGCATAAAATTATTTTTATATTCTTCAACTGCCCCACCAGAGAATAAAAAGTACAAAGCAACACACAAGTAACTCGTATTCGGTATACCGAGAGTACGGCAGTGATTTCTCCAAAAATATATAATTAATGTTTTGTTTGTCTTAAAAATATTCGGAATATGAACACACTGTGTGTATTTTCGAGTTGGGTTTGCGTGTGATCGAGTGTACCACCCGTGTCGACGATGATGGGCGCTTCGAGTGCTTCGACCGATGATCAAATGATCGAAGGTTATTAATAAAAGCGATTTTCGGCGAAAGAGAGCGCCACGTAATTGCCTCGGACTGCGCTTTGATAATCGCGAGTTGCGAACCACAAATGAATTATACACGTAACGCACCAAATAAATATTCATAAAAATAAATACACGTTTAAAATAAAATAATGCTTATTGGCATATGCAGACAAAGAACAATTAAACATGTCGCGAAAACACACGTTAAGACGTTTTGCGATTACCGGCACGCCGCATGCGAGCAAATCGAAAAATAATTAGCCATACTAATTTTCCATCGGAGTGGCGAGTCAAGCGAGACGAACCGAATCGTTATTCGATTGCGGCAACACAGACGCACCGTCATTATGCGCACATTTATAAACTTTCGAACGAACGTAATTATTATAAATTATCGATTTGCAAACTCGTGCCCGTTTGCGGACGAAACGCCAAGCTTTAATCATGCTAATACTTGCTGCGAGAAGTAAATACTGAATAAATAAGTAAATAAAACACACAAGAGCTAAAAAAAATCATACACAAAGCGTTTAAAATATTAATTAAAATAAATTTGCTATGGTAGATACGGGGCATTTAAGTGTTTAATCCAATGTGCTCTCTCAGGCCGGCGTTTATTCACGTTCGAATGAAAATTAATTACATATTTTCATGGAGCTTAAATTCGCAGCAAAAGCCGCACTTCCGAATAGCGCCGCTTATACAACGTGATGAAAATTGCGAAATTTTCAAAGCGAAATACGATGGGAGCTGAACGCGCACAGCGTGGGCACAAAACAGATCCACCAACGCATCTTTGGCGGGCGCGGAGCTTGCTGCCCCGCATTACAGCGCCGGCACCGCCACCCAAAGGTTTCAGCGGACTTCCAAGTTGAAAGCACCGCCCACGCATTGTGGATCACCCACGACTGGGTGTTTGGAGTGGTGATGTTTCAGTGTTAGCCAAACAAGCACCGTTTGACATTTTGGACACAGAAGCTTATTATTCGATGGTGTAAAACATGCAGTTTGATTTATTTACGTGTGTGTTTGAGATATACCAAATATTCGATCAGTCGAGGACAAACAATTTAGATAATAACGTAAAATATGTAAAAAAGATGAAATTTGGTCTCCTGAAGTCCGTATATTCGGCTACACTGATAGTTAATATTGTTTTTCATATGGCACTTATTAATATCTCCGGTCTGAGCACTAATTACCAGTCGACACGTAAAAAATTCACGTTAATTGTTTATGTGTCTGATTGCAGCCAGATATAACTGTAATAAACCTGCAGGTTTTTACATTTCCGATGAAATCTGCGCGTCAAAACAATCGAATGAGTGCACATGGACGTCTCATCACGAATGCCGAATGCAAACAAAACGCAAACAAAAACACTGACCTCGTCAATTAGTTGCTTTTTCCTCTCACTCGCCGAAATTCTTTCGTCGAAATATTCACGCGTGCGACGTAAACACGAACCAACACTCAAGAAAACACAAAATTCACGCGAAAGAATAACAACCACAAGAAATAAAATTATGCACAAAATAACAGTCTCCACGGGTAGTTATTTGGTGCAAAAACAAAGCGATCAAAGCACACAATCGAACCAATCAAACCGAGCGTAAACTAATAATGAAAACCGCAGCCCGGAGTGTGGCAGTGTGTTGTCTGTATCAAAATGGTGCAAATGGCGAAATTGTGGGGAGAATCGCGGCCCCGACCGTAACAAAACGAAAAGCAAAGAGTAACAACACCAACGCCAGGCACTCACTCAGGCCGTATGCTAATGCTAATCCGTATAGATACTGGTAGATAACGCGAATGAACAAATGGTAAACTATTTGTCTCACAAAAGTGTTAAAAATGTTCACGTACGCATTCTGACGTATTTTCATTTGTTATAGTATTACGCAAATAACTGACTATTAAACCACTTACTTTATACAAAATGTTCCAGAAAATTTACGCAATTCATATGTAAAATGAGTGTTATTTACACCAACTTGATAAAACTATATAAAAATTATGCAATGCCCTGTATAATTGAAAATATCAAAATATCGAAACGAGAACTCGCTCGCAGTGCAAAAATTACGAAAAGTGCACGACTGCAATCTCCGCGACTATCCCCACGAAAAGAGAAAGCCTTTATTTGCATATTTCGCATAAAACTTATATAAGAAAATTATCTGAAATTACATAGGAATAATTTTAAATGTCTTCACGGAGCATGAAAAAGGCAAAACATTATTATAACTTAATGAAGCGGTAAATTTAAATTTGCAAGAAAATCCGAAGATTTGAAATATTATAACAATTTCTATGGATGAAATAAGAGCATGTTTGCAAAGTGCAGCTCTGATTTAGTTGGCACTTTCCCGCAAAAGCAAAGTTTCCAAAGCCGGTTTTACCATTTCGGCTAGAAGCTTACCGCCGCTAACATTATGATTTTCTGTCTCAGTGTTTCAATTATTTCAGGCTTATCACAACAGCACTTTCAAAATGTAATATTGCTAATAAATTCAGTAAAAATACTCAAATAAACATCAATTTCATAAAATAACTGCGTATTATTTTTAACTTTTTTTTTTTATAATAATTAAATATGCAAATTATGTAATGTTGTATTTTTTATGTAAAAAAATGTACAGATACGCAATCTGTTATTAATTAAGTAAACATATTTCTGTGCCTTATCAAGATATAATCGTTAATTGAAAATAATGTTAAGTGCATCAACGCATTATTTCAATGAGTAAATTGTCGCCGATGGCAACAAACGCATCGCACGCATCAATAAAACATTAAACTCATTAAACATCGCGAGCGCTCAGCCCGACTGCAACGCATCAAAATGCATGCGAAACCGGTGCCATATGGCCGAATACATTACTTCGCTACACTTCTGTTACAATTCGCCAACAGCCTGCTTCGTGCTTCGCATTTGTTAAACATAAACACGTAAACAACTTGCGCTTCGCGACTTCTCGAACCTTCCTAACAAATGAATGCAGGAGCGTTGCAGTTGGTTGGATGAAAATTAAACTAAACACACTCCGCAGCTGATCTATCTCTGTTGATGTATGATGCGACTTACTCGAGTAGTGTTGGTGAGATTCCTTCGTCGTCGTTTAATTAATCAAATCGCACGCGAGCAATATTTCAATTTGGACAATTGTTGCTGCCGCTGGGTACAATGGCGCGCGCGCGCGGACAAATCAGCAAATAAACAAACGAACGCCGGCTTGGATTCATCACTCGCGCACGCATTTACACCCGATCGTAGACTACAGCTGAAGAATGTTTGCGAAGAATCAAGAACCAGCATATGCTGCCAGTACGCCCACATGCGTTCTGCAAGGTTCGCGAGCCTTACTTAACACTTACACACCGGCCACTGACTGCACCGATGCATGGATGCAGTGAATCGAACAATGCTAATTGTGGAAGTAAATTTGACTTACCGATGTGTTGGCGCGCCGGGAACGTTGCGTGCCTGCTCGCCGCTGGTCAACGCGGTTTCGGCAAAACGCGCACGGATGCACTGCACCTCTCAGATGCACGCACGCTCGCAACACACACTCGCGACTACGCGGCTGCCTGCGTCGCCATGATGTTTATTTTTATTGATTTACCTGCACGAACCAATCCTGGCGCGTTCCGGGCGCGCTTCGTTTGTTTACGTTTGGTGGCGCTACTTACACTTGCCTCGTTATTTTATTTCGAATTTTAATCTCATCAATAAAGCATAAAATCAGATATTGAAAACGTGCATATAGTATATTTAATTTAATTAATTTATAACAATCAACTTAACCCAGCAGTGATTCAAGATTTATGAAAAAGTTTAAGAAATATTTTCATTACAACAAGTTACTATAGGCAACCCAACATACAGCAAATCTAAGCTAAAATTACGGAGGCAACTACGCATACACATTTCAAAATGTGCCGTTTAAAAATTTGAAATAACTTTTGATAAGTAATTTTTATTTAATTAATATACAATTTTACAACTCTTTGGTGATAGAATGTAATGTGTACAACAAGCGAGATTCGAACGCATTGCATTGTAGTAGATTCGTTTTGAATAAGTAGTATT